CTTCTTAAATAGGCAAATTACATGCAACTCTTGCATGTCAAAGTTCACCAAAAGCTTACAACACATATTCCACTCATGCATGGCATGACTAAGTGTCAAAATGCATGTCTAAGTTCACCAAAAGCTTACAACACACATTYCACTCATGCATRRCATGRCTAAGTGTCAAAAAGTGGATTTTTGAGATTATTTAAATGTTCCACTCAACAAGTTAGTGGAATTTTCCACCAACTTGGTTAAAAACATTATTTTAATCTACTTTAGTCAACCTTTGACTTTCTCTGGTCAAAGTCAACTATTTGACTTTTTCCAAAATCCGATGTTTGATGAAATCCATGCCTCCGATTATGAATCCGCATTCATAATTTTAATATTTAAATMCTATTTAAATATTTTGTCCAAATTTCTCAAATTGATATCATATATCAATTACTTAATCATATCTCATATGATTAACCTAATTCGTACGATTTGAATTATTCCTTCAAATTATTCCAAGTTTATTCCTATAYGAGCTAGYCAKGGGACCTTATGGACCTACAGATCATGAGCTCCAACGATCCGAGATTAACCGGTTAAACTCTTTAACCTAGTTAACCAATAATCGTTAACTACGMGGTCACTCCACTAAAGCCCGTAGCTGCACTCTCCTCACTGTAGATATATTATGTCCATTTGATATAACCATGATCGGTAAGTCGACCCTTCACAGGTTGTTCGTAATTACAGCTGGGTCAAAATACCGCTTTACCCCTGTAATTACCTCTTGTTCCTTAAGTCCCACTAATCCTCTGATGAACAATGATTTGTAGTCCAACTATCAAATCAAAAAATCCTCTCAAACCTTTTGATGAGGGTGGCGCCAATTGTTCAAGACCTGGATTCAGCCCTTAAGAGAACAACCTCTCTACTATCCCAAAATTGGGTAGAAGTGAATTCCTTCTTGCACCCTATGTCCCTAGCTATCTACCGGGTCTTACCCCTGAAATGGGAGGCTTATTGAGCCAGCGCTGTTGAGCTGCTCTCACCCATGCAGATCTAAGGATAATCCCGAGTAAACAGAAGTTCATAGTTAGCTCAGGATTAAGATCGAGTTACCTAGGCCATCAAAGTTGAGATAGTCAGTTTCAAACAGTAAACGGTGTTATAAAGTAAAAGTGACTATCTCATGGTCCGGTCTTATGCAAACTCTTTGCACGGGACACCCCCACTCGCATGTCTTCACATGAACGAATTAGGATCACATCGTTTGTACTAGCTACAAAGTGGGCCGCATCCATAGTGTCTCCAGCATAAGGCGCCCAACCTTATTCCTATACTATAGACCATTTAGACTGTTAACTCAAACTTGATCCATATTAATGTCTCTTACATAGAGTTTGAGTCTCAGGTAACAGTCTAGGATCCTTTATTTTATTGGATTTAGATATAGTAAGAACATTTTATTGGATCAATAACTACTTATTGATTAAAACCTTCAATAACAACTTTATTGAATGATAAAAGTATATCTGTTATTTTCAAACTATGAGTTTTAGGACATAAAACCCAACATGGACAACCCAAAAAAGGCTATATATTCACATGTTTTATCGTTTCTATCAAGTCCATTCATGGACCACCCAAAGAAGGGCTATGGATTCACATATGCTTCACTAGATCCATCAAGTCCATAGATGGACCACCCAAAATAAGGGCTATAGATTGAGTATCATGGCTTGAGTCCCATACATCTTAAGGACTCTTGAATTACTCTCCTTGTTTGGCTTTTGGTGAGAGAATCCACCAAGTTCCTCTCGAACCGCACATATTCAAAGGATGTAATTCCATCTTTCAGCAACTGCTTCACAGCTTCATGTCTTAGACGTATGTGGCATCTCTTGCCATTGTGCACACTATTTTTGGCAATTTCTATGATAGCTTATGAGTTATACTGTATGGATACAGGTACAGATTTCCCCTACAGTGGCACGTCTCCAAGAAGGCTTCTCAGCCATTCAGCCTCGGGACCTGCTAGTTCAAGTACTATGAACTCAGATTCCATGGTAGAACAAGCAATCCAAGTCTATTTTGTCGATTTTCATGAGATAGTTCCACCGCCAAAAGTAAACACATACCCCGCTAGTGGAGCTCATTACATAATTATCTGTAACACAGCTTGCATCATAATATCCTTCTAGCACAACAGTTGTTAAAATGCAAACAATAGTCCATTGTACCCCTAAGATACCTTAAAACCTGATATAGAGCAGTCCAATGATCTTTACCAGGATTATGAGTGTATCTACTCAGTCTGCTTATCGCGTATGCAATATCAGGTCTAATGTAATTTATTAAAAACATGACACTACCTATGATCTTTGCATATTCAGATTGAGATACACTATCCCCCTGATTCTTTTTTAGACTTATGCTACCATCATAAGGTGTTCTTACAGGTAAATTATTAAAGTGATCAAATTTTTTCAGCATTCTCTTGTAGTGTGATTGACATAAGGAATATCTATTGCCATTTTTTCGTTTTTTTTACATCAAATGTTACATCAGCCTCTCCTAAATCTTTCATTTCAAAATGTGAAGAAATGAGCAACTTGGTCTCATTAATGATATCTAAGTTTGAACAAAAAAAAGCATGTCATCAACATACAAGCATATTATCACATAATCAGCTCCAAATAACTTTGAGTAAACACACATATCAGAGCAATTTACGTTATAACCATTGTTTACCAAAGTGCCATTAAATTTTTCATATCATTGTTTAGGAGCTTGTTTTAGACCATAGAGAGATTTTTTTAACTTGCATACATATACTCTATTTTTTTTGACAAGTAGCTAGCAAACCTTCAGGTTGTGTCATTGACTGGCGTTTTGCTGAACGCACGCACTAAGCGTGGTAACAATTATATAGATGCAAGCGCACACCTGTCAGAGTAATATAAAATGGATGGAGTATCCAAGTATCGATCCTCAAGGACTTCTAAATAATTTCCAAACTCTGAAGTTTTAAAGAATAGTGAATGTTGAAATGAGTGATTCTTGTAAA